CGAAAGCTAGTTTTACGCAACGAAACAGCGTTTTGTTTATAAATACGTCAAGAACAAGATGGCGGCGTATATTTTCGGTTGACGTTGGAAAATGTCAATTTGATCGACCCCAGTAGGAAATCTTATGTAATTTCGCTTCCAGTTAAGGTATTTAGAATAGTTAGGCGTATCGACCTGCTTATTTTTTAACTGCAAAGCTGAATGCCTCTTAAATCGCCCGATATACTCTTTCACAATAGTGTTGAATCCCCGGTCTATGCGACTTCTCAGGACTGTGGAGACCGAAAGATCAGCGGAAGGAGGCCAACCTACAGGACTGTACTCAGGGCTATGACTGACCGTGAAGCTCCTGCCCCTCCCACCACACATAAACATAACATTGTTTTCCGTTAGGTAAAGTGGAAGAACACCATGTTACACATTCACAAAACAAATAATAAATTTCCACCTGTTTTTACGCGGCGATAAGCTACCAATTTTTTCAGTCGATGTATGCGAAGAAGCTGAATGAGTTCGTTGGAGAGGTATTTTTCCAGGGACTCGAACTTGGACCTCATCATCGTCTCCCAACGTTCGACTGTTTATTTGCTCGTCCAGTGGCGCACTCGGTGCCACGGCACATTCTTTTGTCACCTCATTCTCCCCGTTGTTGTGAATATTATTTTCTTTAACAGAACCGTCCAATGATATACTTGATAAAAATAGTAAAGCGTCCGATCTTTTCCGAGAGTTTTTTACATTACGTCGTCTTCCATTTGTCGCCATGTTAGTTACAAGTCTCGCGAAGTCTCGTATGGATGAGGACAATCCCTTAACATTTATTGACATATTCAGATAGCAACAAATGTTCAAAATATACCAACATGGGTATACATTTACTTTGAAAATCACGCAGAACATAAAAACTATGATTTGATGACCAATAATTACATTTTCCACGTACAAAACAAAGTCTCGCATATGTCACGTGATGGCGTATATTGGTTCGGTATCGAAATAAGCACTTTCCTGTTGTTCCCCTGCTTTAGTATACGAGTACTGAACAGGGCAAAACAGATCTGCTTTTGAGCTCGTTTCGAAAATCTACCAATGTTTCGGACAAAGATATTTCTCTGAAAAGATGGATAATACTAACACTACTCGTCCAGGGCGTGTTGTGATGGAAGGCGTTGGGGCACGAGTGGGCCGCGGGCCAGACTGGAAGTGGGGAAAACAAGACGGCGGTGAGGGTCATCTCGGCACCGTCAGGAATTTCGAGTCCCCGGAAGAAGTAGTCGTCGTTTGGGACAATGGTACCGCCGCCAACTATCGATGTGCCGGGGCGTACGACTTAAGAATAGTAGACAGTGCTCCAACCGGTGAGAATTATTCATAGACTTTGAATATTAATAATATGATGTTTTCGTATACCAAAGTTAAATGCCCGAACAAACTTCCTGTCAATATAAAATTTCAGTGTTGACAGTTCTACGTGTGCGAACTCTGAATTTTTTTGACTTTAAGCTGGAAATCGTAGTTGGGATACATTTTTAAAGTTCGGAAAATGGTGACATTGGAATTATTTAAAAAAAATAATGTATAATTCGATAATTAATAATAAATATTGTTATGTAACAATAACGCCAACAATAGAAAATTATCCAAAAAAATATTAGACAATTTGTGTGTTAGAATTATAATTTTGTCTAAATGACTTGATTGGACTACTGTAAAATACTTTATTTTGGCTGAAATTAATTTTCACTAAAAGGGCTTTTTGAATGTTTTGTGTAGAATTTATTTTCACTAATTTTTTTTTTTTTATGAGATGAATGTGAAATGTAGGAAAAAAGCTATATTTGCTAGATTTTATTTTCATTGAATCATTCCTTCAGCAAAAATGTATTCCAAGCGGAAATAAAGTATTTTACAGTATTTCTGTGTTTATTTGCAATATCTGCAGAGACAACATAGCTGGATGCTATTGCACATTTATTGTCATCGGCATATTGTTTTATACACCAAAACAGCAACTAAGTTGCTGAATAAGTA